CTTTTGGCTCTTGCCGGCACACCCCTTGGCACATGGCTGAGTTGGTTATCTCCATTGAATAAGCTGTGTAAGGGTCTCAGTGCTTTAAATTTTGGTTTTGTATAGCTTAAAATCTATTCCACAATCAGGTATACTACCATAATTCTGACTTGTTGACCCAGAAAATTGATTCATGGAAATAATTTCAGAAATAATTCTGAAAAATAAGATTTCTAGGCCAATGTCTTTTGTGATGCTAGTTGTTTACACTACTGTTTGGATTTGATTGGCTAAGATTAAATTATCAAATAGAAGAACTTAATGTTAATAAGGTCAGACTCTTTGGTCTGTTTGAATTCAAATTTAGCTCTCAGCCTTCCTTGTGAGATAAAGATATATGGGCTTATATTAAATGAGTATGTTCAAATTTCTTTGCAAACACTGACATTGAGATGTGTTGATCTTTCTTTGATCTTCTTAATTATCCAGCCTTTGTGTGTATATGATATGATTAAAAAGTCCTGTGTTAGTCTGGGTACATTAGAGAAACAAATCCACATAAACTAATATGTAGGAGAGAGTTTTATATAAAGAGGAAGTGTACATCAATAAAACATCCCAACCCAGTGCTGCCCAAGCCCACAAGTCCAACATTAACCCATATGTCCGACATCAATCCACAAAGTCCTCCTCCATATCACAAAACACACATAGTGATGCCGCCTGCAGGAGGAAAGCCCAGTCAGTGAATGTGTAAGCATCTCAGCACTGGCAGGGGTCTCCACACGGCTACTCCAGCACCCAGAGCTGCATCGGGGTAGGTCCATGTGGCTTCTCCTCAGGGATGTCTTACAGGAAGTGAGCCTTGCCAGCTGAAGCAGAGAACTGGCTAAGGCAGCTGCACCCTGGTCTGATCATCAGAGAGCAAGAGACCCAAGAACAAGAAAGGTGAGGCTCACTGATCCATTTATCCCTCTGCCCTTCAATTAACCCCACATGTGTTTATCGGCCAGTTTGGCACAATAAATAAGTACCTCAAGACCTTAGGTTGGGTCAGGCATACGTCATCAAAGGAACATCTTTTCTTTTTTAACAATTTAAGGAGATCTTTTATAGCAAGTTTACCAAATGCAGTACATCATGATATATCTAGACCACTGCTTCCATGGATGGGGATTGTTGATCCAAGGAGAATGGGACACCAATGGAAATGTTTCCACCAGCTGTTGAAGCACTAGGAGCACTCACTCATCTCTGCCAAGGAGCTTGAAAGACAGATATTTGGCTAACCAACTGGAAAAGATCCATATTTTTGACCATTTTTGAAAAAGGTGACCCAATAGACTATGGAAATTATTGAATAATAGGATTAATATCATGCATAAATAAAATTTGACCAAAAGACAATTTAGAAATTATTTTTCAGAACATTGACAGAGAACTTCCAGAAAATCTAGCTGGATTCAGAAGAGAACGTGGAATGAGAGATACTGTTGCTGATGTCAGATGGATTTTGGTTGAACACAGAGAATACAAGAAAGATGCGTCCTTGTGTCTCACACACGAAAGCATGTGTGGATCCTATATAAAAACTCTGGATAACATTGTGAAGAATAAGAATTCTAAAAACCTTTCTTTGTGTGCATAGGAAGCCTATACACAGATCAAGAGACAGCCATTCAAATTTAACAAGGGCATGGTGTATGGGTCAAAATTAGGAAACGTGTGCGTTAGGTTTATAGAATTTCACCATACTCATTCAGTTTGTATGCTGATCCAATAATCTGAGAAACTAGACTAGAAGAAGGGCATGGCATCAGGATTGAAGGCAGGCTCGTTAACAACCTGCCACATGCACATGACACAACCTTGTACGTAAAAAGCCAGGAGGACTTGAGACACCTGCTTCTGAAGATCCGAGACTGCAGCCTTCCGTTTGGAGTACAGCTTAATGTAACAAAATAAAAATACTTACACTGGCCCAACAGAAAGTATCAATATAAACTGAAAAAAAGATTACGTTACCAAGGATTTAATTTTACTTAGACCCATAATCAACACTCGTGGAAGCAGCAGTCAAGAAATCAAGTGAAGTGATGTGCTGAATTGGACAAATCTAATGGCAAGCCATCTCTTTAACGTACTAAAATGCAACGATGTCACCTTGAGGACTCAGGCACATTGGACCCAAGCCATGGTATTTTCAGTCACTTCACACGTGTATGAAAGTTGTCTAATTAGTGCATAAGGAAGACC